CTGATTATGATAATTATGCATTAACTTATAGATGTCTAACACCAGATTATAATTTAAATAAACCATGTCTACAGCGAGAACTCCATTTATTTAGTCGAAAACCATATTTAGAAAAACAATATTTGGTCCAACTTGAACGTTATATTATAAATGTCTTATGCATTAATTCAAATGATATTATAAAAACTACACATCGCAGACCATTCTGTTATCCAATAGAAGATTTTGGCAGCAATCCACCTCGTCACTAAACCTTAATAAAGAACAACTCGATAAATTTTCACAGAACAATCATTTCAAGCTAACATTCATCAACAATAACTAACAAAAATTTTTTCTTCATACATAATATTTTTCCTTTTAGAAAACTACAGTAGATTGCACCTATAGTTATATAACATTAGTTTTATCATTATCAATTTATCTAACATTATTTCTGTTTTTTTACATTTATTTCTAATACAACAATAAATATATTTAACCGAGAAAAATAAAAAAAAACAAATACTAGGTGATAATTGCATTGATGAATATTGTGGCCTACAGGAAAGAAAATTAATGTCTGTTTAAAAAAAAAAGGTCGTAGTAATTTTTACATTAAAACAAGAAACGAAAGAGCTAGAAATCTGTGCTTCTCTCATCAGTCGAAAGAGATGACACTAAGGTATCTTTTTCTTTAATCTTGTAAAAGACGAAATCATTTTAAGATCAAACTTTTTTACGAAATATCGAAAAAAGTACAGAAATCGATTTACTTAACGTTCTAATGTGTGAATACAATGATTCAAATTATGCCTTAAACTATAGATCTCATATCCCTCTATCCAATTTACATAATAAAATAGAACTTTTCATGGATATTTAGCAATATGTTGCAGAAATTATTCATTTTAAAATGGTTTTGTCTTATACGATATTAGACGTAAAAATGATTTTGCATCGCATCTTTTTCAATTGGTAAAAACAACAACTCTCTAGTTCTTTCTTTGCAATCATGGTCACAACCATTAGTTTTTAAACAAACAATAGAGTAATAGCAATTTATTGATCAATATAATAATAAATAAAAAAACAGAATTTTCGTATAATTATATATATATGAAAAAGAAAAACAAAGATAATCAATGAAATTATGATTGAAGGATGCTTCAAAATCTATTTCAATCAGTCGATCATTATTCCTTCATTCTTCAATACTATTTGTTCAAAAATGGACTTTTTCTTTTATTTCACATCTTCATTATGTATAGATCAATTTTAGTGTAAGACTATTTAAGTGCTTATGAAATGAAAATTTTCTAATTAAAAATGCAATCTTATTTTCTAAGAAATATTCAGTAATTTTAACTATTGATGTGTATGTCTTTATTTCATTTGATTAGCAATTACAAATTAATAAATACAAAACAGTTAAAATTATTGAAAACTTCTAGAAAAACAAAGTAAGATTACATTTTTCATTAGAAAATTTTCTTTTTATGAGCACTTAAATAATCTCGCACCAAAATTGGTCTACACATAGTGAACATTTCTTATTACGATTTGCAATCAATAGATTGATGAGTGAATAATGGTTTCAAACAGTAATTAGTCATGTTTGACGATGTGAAATAAAGGAATAGATAAATAAAGGAACTGAGGAAATGAAATGTATTTTAAAGCGTTCCTTAAAGAGAAATTCATATATTACATTAAAAAGTGTTTGTAAATTTTGAAGAACTTTCATATAAGTACTTTACATTTCTTTTTGTTGTTCAATCATATTTAAATGATTCTCATCTTGATTATAATCGAGTTTATTTTTGATTTTATGTTGATCTTCTTTCTTTATTCAAATTTTTCGATTGTAATTCATCATATTTAATGAACAAATTATCCATATATTTTTGTTTTTTTCATAATATTTAAATGTCTTTTCTTTATTAAAGGTTTTTATTTTAAAATATTTATTTCATTTTATTTTAATCTTAATTTGACATCGATAATTCAATTGATGTTGATTTAGTATATGTGACCTTTCGGATATGCATGAATAATCATTCACCAGTAACAAATATTATAAAATAATATTTTGTGGTAAACAAGTTTTTTTTCTTTCTATATTATTATTCACACTTTTGATAGTAAAACAAAAAATCAAAACGGTAATAGTAGGTCTTATAGATGGAGAAAGGATTATACTCTTGTTTTTTTTGTACTATTTCAATAGTAGGACAAATAATACAGAAAAGAAAACGTTTTTTTATCGTTGAAAGACATTTCTTGATTTTGTGATGTCAAGCGTGAAGCATCTATCAACATACGAAAAATCACAATTTTAAAAATTCTATGAAATAAATATTTCAAATAAAAACAAAACTAAAAGACAATAAGACATTAAAATGATGTCAAATTTCAATACAAGTTTCCTATTAGAACAAGGATCATTAATACATATAAATAAATATTTCAAAAAACAAAAAAAGAAAAATCTATTTATAGATTAAAGTAATTGATTGTTACAATTTCGTAATGTAGCATGCTATTCACACATGATCAAATGATCAATTTAATATGAAATAAAAATAAAGGAATAAAAAAAAAACATCTTTCTTAGCTCAATCTATCAATTTTTGATAGATAAAAGTTGGGCTATAGAAAAAAAAAGTTGTAAATATTTGTGAACTATTGGTGGTATAAAATATTAAAGAACTTAACAGGAATCTGATTTGGAGAAAATACTATTTTTTTTGTATAAATACAATGAGAGAAATGAAGTAATCGGTTATGTTAAAAAAAAGCTTTTGTAATACATAATGAGAATGTTTAACATTTGCTGTTTGAAAAAAAGAAGCAATTTATTGTTCTGACATTTCGGACATGTCATCAAATAATTTATTCTTGTACACATATGATCCTTCAATTATATTTAGGGATGTTACTTTATCTTTACCCTTATAAATAAAGATAAAGACAATCTTTATTTGTAAAAATAAAGTTAAAATACAGAACAAAGATATATTTTTTCTTTTTGATGCAATAGATACATATGTAAATACCCTTTATTAGAACAGAATATGTTCACTAGTGTTCATTCTCATCACCCTCATCACTTTCATATGGTATATCGTCAAAAACTAAGGACTACTCATAAAACGATATATGAGAAAAATGTTATTGCATATTATATCTAATTGATCATTTTATGTGAGGTACATCAACAAAATAAAAAAATAAGTTTTAATAGGAAAAAAATTCTTTATTCTTTATTTTATCTTTATCCTTTATTATAAAGAAAATAAAAATAAAGTAACACCGCTAATGATGGTTTCATACATTGCACTACTGTAATGAATTTTTGCTGATGTAAAGCTTCTCATAACCGATTTATTGTCATATTTGTATTTGACATATCTGATAGAAATCAAGTTGATACTGATGCTTAAAGAATATTGCTATAAAGTTTTTTGTTTAAAGTATCACGTAACTTCTCTCGATCGTAACATTTTAAGCAACGAGTTTTTTAGTTATTTGTTTATCTTATAATGTATATTCAAATTTAGTTTATGTTTCTTTTCTCGAATACTGCTCAGTTCAAGTCAAATAGTTATCAGTTCAGAAATCTTACTCATATGAACTGCTAATCGTAAGATTTTCATGAATTAAAACAGAGCAGGCATCGTATTTTATATCGTGATAGACGCATTCTTTGTCAGTATTTCAATGTATTTTTTCATTAATCTCCTTGCATATCTCGTTGAGTCTGACACTTCATCGTTTTTCTTTCAATGTGGATATAGACAATTTATTAGTAACAAAAATAAAAGAAGATTACGAGAGATTTTATTCATTTGATCAAATTAATAAATTTGTATCGTGAAATTATAATGTTTGTTGACATAAATCATTGTTGCAATCGATTTGAATGAAAAATTTTCGTTGTTATGCCATTTATTTTTGAAATAGGAACATTGTTTGAGCTTTTTATCACTATGAAAAATAATTGAGCAAGTTTGTTTGCAGGAAAAAAATGCATTTCGATCAGAGATATTTGTAGTTTCTGCAAGAATTTTTCGAATAAATTTGAAATTTTCTATCATTATGACTAGATAAATACCTTTGAAACGGCATACACGTGGATGTTAGTTGAAAGTGAATCGAATGAATCGTTTATTACTTTAGATCGAAAGCAATCTTTTTACTTTTCTTCTTTATCTACCTTTTGTTTTATTTAATATTTAATTCAAACATTAAGAATGTGACTATAGAGAATATTCACATCCATACCAACACTTCATGGTACTCAAACCGAACTATGCGAAATTCTTACCATCCGAAGATTTATCATAGTTTCTAATTCGAGTGAAGATGTAAAAAGTCAAACGGAGATCACAACTTTTACTTAAACAGTCTTCATTGTTGATAGATAGGGTGGTGTGACATGAGACAATTTGTCATTCTGAATCACTCAAAAACAAGCGTTTACTATTTCAAAGCTTTTCCAGCCTTGGATAAAATCATGTAGTCGAGGAAAATGTTGATTCTTAAATGTTTTTCTTAATTGCTTTAGAGTGCGATTAAAAGTGCTCTGACTCTTGTATGTGAACTTTTAATGCATTCAGAGGAGTAGTTCCCTTTTCTTAGTATAATCAGATGCGTTTTTGATCGTTCTACCAGATTACAAGGTTCGTTCGAAGATACCTTAAAATGTCTTACTTACTGTTCCTCGAATTAGAATATAAAAACAATGGTTTACGTAAACAGTAGCAGTCAATTTTTCTGCTCTGTGTGATGAGACATATTTTGTTAACTACAAAAAAAGACTGCTAGATGAAAAGTGTATGTATATTTTTCTTTTTACTTTCTGACTTAAAAATCAGATTTCAAATAGTTTCTCCAACAAGATGCCTCTTATTTTATATTTATTTAGGCTTAAAATTGAGCCGATTGCACATTTAGCCATGTAGCCTATAGTCAATAAAATTTTTTGGATTCAAATGTCTTTTTGGCGTAGATGTAAGAGAGTATTGCTGTAACTGTCAGGTTGCGTTGAATAAAGTGAATATCAGTCAGAAATACGAGATGAATACAAACGGACATCGGGTGTGGGTGTGGGTGGGTGTGGGGTGTGGGTGTGGGTGTGGG